TGAAGCCTTAATAATGGCTAATAGAGTAGCCGAAATTGCTCGGATATATATATATATATATATATATATATATATATATATATATATATATATAGTTTATGACAAACTACGTAATCCGTATGGGTAAACCTAAGGAAGATGAAATCCAGAGAGCTCAATGTAAATCCAGAGTAAATAATTTATATACCTATCTAGAAACAGTCACAAGTTAAATTCATGAACACAATTCAATCGGATAGAGATGTCAACTTAATAATCAATAATAAAATTTTTTAATGAGATTAAAAAAGATTACTAGAAGTAAACTTATATTTTAAAATAAAATTTTCTTCTTTTAATGTACTTTCTATGAATATTTTTCTAATCGACTATTTCATAGAAAATCCCCAAAATTTAAAAAAAAAAATTAAATCACTAACAAACATCAAATTAAATTATTTGTAGACAGTCTAGAGACATTCAAATTTATATCAAACATTATAATCTTTATGAACCCCCAAAATAAAACTTTCAAAGTAAAACAAAATAACAGCGTCTGTTTCTAGGCATTTTTTTTTTTTACAAAGTAAATTAATGACACCTTCTTTCATGACTTCCTTTTTTCTTTTTCTCTCTATGGGTTTTTTCTTCTCTACCCCTTCGATATCAATATATAACTTCCGTTAAGTTAACCGTTTAAATGTGTCAATGTCTGCTAACTCACTCATGTCTTCTCTCTCCCCCCTCACTTCCTCACTTCGTTAATTTACATATGTTTAATACGGCCCGTCAAAAATGTGTAAATTTTCATTTTTTGTTTGGAAGTAAAGTCTGATGATTCGCAGTCCTTTCAAAAAGGCTGTGGTGAAATAATTTATTACATGGAACCTTAAGGTGGTCTGTTTTTATTTAATACACACACACACACACACACACACACACACACACATATATATATATATATATATATATATATATATAAAAAAGTAGTACTCGTTTGTAAAATCTCGGATAGTTCAACTTGCAGATATGTCAGGACAAATCGGTGCCCTAGGAAAAAATTGGAAATAAAAAGAAAAAAACTAAAATCATCAGAACAAGACGAAAGAAATCGCTAAGTACTTTTAAGTCCTTAGTCTAAAGAAAAAAAAAAAAAACGAGAAGAAAGACTAAAACGCAGAGTGATCAATACGCTAAAATAGAGTATATATATATATATATATATATATATATATATGTGTGTGTCTGTGATATATATATATATATATATATATATATATAAAAAAATATAAAATATAATTATTCATATATATATTATAATAATTTTTTGTAATATATATAATATTTTTTATAATATATTTTATTGTATATATATACATATATATATATATATATATATATATATATATATATAAATTTCTTCACAAGTGGACATACCTGAGGGTGCATCTACGAAACCTGGAGTCAGGACGTGGAAGGCAACATCTTTCAGCTGAGTTACAAACCTTTTACTTGTATTAATTCTCTCTCTCTCTCTCTCTCTCTATCTATATATATATATATATATATATATATATATATATATCTGTGTGTGTGTGTGTGTGTGTGTGTGTGTTGTGTGTGTGTGTCAAATATATATCCTGAGTTCCAACAGTGTAGACCTTTAGACGTTAGAGGGTGTAATTATATTGTTCTAATTTATGAATAGAAACATTATTAAGTCTCTGGGTATAATCACTTTATGTCGTCTGCATCAAAGATTTGTGATGAAAAAAAATGGAGGTTCTCAGAGATATATTTTAATATGGCTGAGCCTAAATGCAAGAAGCCAGAAAGTATGGTCATCAGCTAGGGAAAAAAAAACAAGATGCGAGTTACAATATCGGATCACTATTCTTTGTTCCTTCTTGATACAAACGCCTCGCTGAGCGGCCATATTTACACTCTAACACCAGCAAGAAAACTGGCAAGATCAATCTCAAACCTCGATCACGTGACCATAATAGTAACAACTATAAGTACGCATGAGCAGAAGATAGTATGACAAACCTAAATATGTGTGTGTGTGTGTGTGTGTGTGTGTGTGTGTAGCAGATGACATTAGGTAGATTTAAGACGAACATGAAAATAAATGGATTTGACCCCCGAGAACGCTCCATCCAAACGGGTTTAATCACAAATTTAACAACATAGATAGAATTAATATATAACTCCACAAATCAGGCCCTACACACATTTTCCACCCACACAAGACAGACTTACTTGCGGAGGTGTTGAGACCTCACAAGTATACTCACACTCATACTAATATACACACTTGCACACATCATACTCACTCACTCCCTAAGAACCAAATAACACACACACACTTAACAGACACACATCCCCTTTCCAGGAACCAACAAAAGTGTTAAAATGACCAAAGGAATTCAGAGCAGCATGAATCCATCCAGCTCTTATCTTAAATAACAATTTAAAAGAGACTGTTTGACCAACACAAGGACTGATGAAACTTCATGGTAAAAAAAAAACAAAAAAAAAACCAACAAAAAAAACCAAAAAAACAAACAAAGCAAATGAAAACTATAGATAAAAATTCATTTTCTCCATCAAGTCATTCATTTCTGTAGTTCACTGCTACAAACAAGCAGAAAATTATTTTTCTCCTGATGATGGCCATGCTGGCCGAAACTAGTCGAGGAATCTAACTGAAATAATAAAAACGAAAAAATATTAATATGCAACCAAGTGTGTCTGAAGATTTTAACTTTTTAGTATTTTTTATTGTTCAAAAATCTATCTATCTATCTATCTATCTATCTATCTATCTATCTATATATATATATATATATATATATATATATATATATATATATATATATATATATATATATATATATATATTCAAAATATATATATATATATATATATGTATTATTCAAAATAAATGCATATATATATATATATATATATATATATATATATATATATATATATATATTTATTTTTAAGGCCAGAAGCATGGATCAGATGATCGAACTCACTATACGGTCGTAATTAAGCTTGTTAACCATTACACCACGTCGAAGTTCGTGAAAACCCAAGCATTATGAGCGAACCGTTCAGAAGCCGTCGATGGCTTTGTCAGTACGAAGCTACAAGTCATCCTGGCAGAGGATTTGAGCGTGCTGTCTAAATTATTCTTTCTTTCTTTCTTTTTCTCTCTCCCAGAAACTGTAACTAAGGTCTTTTCTGCGTATTTACAGTGTAAAATACCGGTGGATTTTTCTGGAAGAGCAGGCGTCTATAATAGGGATTTTGTAGCCACTTCAAAAGCTAATAAGTCATTGCTGTCAATAGAAAAAATTACAAGCTTATATTTCGTGGAGAGAAAATTGCGAAAATTCTTATTTTAAAACGTCTGAATATATGTAAACTTCATGAAACTCTGAGTACGAGCAAGATAAGTGCACATTTAATTTTGTTGATGTCGAATTCTACAATAGCAAAGACTTCCTACGTTGAAAACCTTAAAAAACGCAATCTTTAAAATTATCTCAGTAGACCGATATTTTAAAGCGAAACATAATCATATTTGTTTTAATCAGTTACCCAAAGCAAAGTAACAAGCCACTCGGGTTGAGAAATTGTACGAATCTTTGAATATATAGAAAATTTGGACAATTTTTACGCACTTTATGTCCAGTCGTCTTTAATGAAACTTGTATAAAAGAAGGATTTCTGTCAAAATACACAATATATATATATATATATATATACATATATATATATATATACCAACATTTAGTGAATACGTGGATCTGTACCTAAAATCTAGAGAGGTGGTTGTATGTTTATATGGGGGGTATCTCTGATGTAGCTAGATCAATAGATATAGAATACATTCAGATAGATAGATAGATAGATAGATAGATAGATAGATAGATATGTAATAGCCTCAGATAGATAGATATGGAATGGCCTCAGTTAGATAGATAGATAGATAGATAGATAGATGCAAAGTAAGATAGATAGATAGATAGACAGATAGATATGTAATGGCCTCAGATAGATAGATAGATAGATAGATAGATAGATAGATAGATAGATAGATAGATAGATATGTAATAGCCTCAGATAGATAGATATGTAATAGCCTCAGATAGATAGATAGATAGATAGATAGATAGATAGATAGATAGATAGATAGATAGATAGATATGTAATAGTCTCAGATAGATAGATAGATAGATAGATAGATAGATAGATATGTAATAGCCTCAGATAGATAGATAGATAGATAGATAGATAGATAGATAGATAGATAGATAGATAGATATGGAATAGCCTAAGATAGATAGAATAGACTAGACTAGAATAGATAGATAGATAGATAGATAGATAGATAGATAGATAGATGTGGAACAGCCTCAGATAGATAGTTAGATAGATAAATTGATAGATATATCGACTGATAGAGAGATAGGGAGATAGATAGATAGATATGGGATAGCCTCAAGATAGATAGATATGAAAAGATTGTGTACGTGTTTATCGTTATCGTCTTATAGACTAATAAAAACACGTGATCAAATCTCACATACATGAAATCATTCTTTTTTCGACCCCACATTTTATTGAAATAATGTCGGTGTGTGTCTGTGTGGGTTTCTCCGAACGCAGATTCAGCATCACGAACATGTAAGAAACGCTCTGTCTCTTCCTCATTGTTTGTAACCACGTATGCACATCCTAGATGCAAAGGAAGTCGGACTTTGCTTTTTTACATGACGTAGACAGACACCGACATTTAATGAATAAGTGGATCTGCACCTAAAATCTAGAGTGGTGGTTATATGTGTGTCTGTGGTGGGTATCTCTGAGGTAGCTAGATCGATAGATATGAAATAGCATCAGATAGATAGATAGATAGATATGGAATAACCTCATATAGATAGATAGATATAGATAGATAGATAGATAGATAGATAGATAGATAGATAGATAGATATGGAATAGCCTCAGGTAGATAGATAGATAGATAGATAGATAGATAGATAGATAGATAGATATGGAATAGCCTCAGATAGATAGATAGATAGATAGATATGGAATAGCCTCAGATAGATAGATAGATAGATAGATAGATAGATATGGAATAGCCTAATATAGATAGATAGATAGATATGGAATAGCCTCAGATAGATAGATAGATAGATAGATAGATAGATAGATAGATAGATAGATAGATAGATAGATAGATAGATATGTAATAACCTCAGATAGATAGATATGGAATGGTCTCAGATAGATAGATAGATTGATTGATTGATATGGAATAGCCTTCGATCAGCCCGCTGATGCAGCTAGCTTCTCTTTAACTGCCAATCCCACCTCTGTCCAGAACTAAAATTACCGTTTAATTTTCATACCGATATTAATTGAACCCAACAAAACAGCTGATGGTGATCCCGAAATGGGAATGATTTGAAAACTGGGAAACGACATGGGGATAAATATGTGATACCCCCTCCACCCTCCTGTATTACCCGGGCATCATTGCTCTAGTTAATTTACGTTAGTATTAACAGTTTTCATTCTTTCTCGACAAACTAAATATATATATATATATATATATATATATATATATATATATATATATATATATATACGTGTGTGTGTATTTTATTTATACTTTATGTTATAAATGGTTGGACAATAAAGCAATCAAGTCCTTACTCTAGCATAAAATCGAATGTAATCGTGCGTAATTACCCAGAGTAACTTAAAAAAAAGGAGAAGAAAAATAAGCCTATATCACAGCTTGATCGCGCATGCCAGTTAGGTTGGACAATCCTTTTACTTACATTAGACTAGGCATAACTCCCCCTCTGCCCTCTCCCTGCACTCCACTCTTTTAGTTACCGTTCGGAGAAAAGCCTCCCACAGCCCAACACCTATTCCCCAATCGGTACAATCCTAACCCATCACCTCAGCCTGCCTCTCTTAGTGCTCGAACCCCCTTTTTCTTTCTAGCCATTCCTGGTGAGTGTAATTGAATGCTCAGAAGGACACATAAAAATCAGGCATTCTATAACCACTGTTTTCGATGACGTTGTCCTCACCGTTGTTGGCATCTGTTTGATGTGGCCAGGCATAAAACGCGGGAATTTCTCCTGTCCACCTTCGACAAGAGCTCGAAAGGCAGACCACTAGACAAACGTCAGTCTAGATTCGTTAGGCTGGAAGATGTCTTCGTTGTAACGCCGTCCTTTGCTTGAAAAGGAGGAAACATGTTTTTATCGCGTCCTTTTTCAGGATTTCTTTCTTTATGTCGTTTCAGACTTGCTTTCCAGTCGATGTTGTTTGCGTTGTCAGCCGAAAAAAAGATGGCGTCATTTTGTTGCCATCTGTATTTGGCTTTTGAACCTATTTTCTGTATTTTGCATTCTGTACCTTATCCCGAGTAATTAAAAATTAAATAATGTAGTTTAAAAAACAACAACAACAATAATAATAATAATAATAATAAGGATACTAGAAATAATAATGAAATAAGCCGTTTCCTTATAAGGAAACATTTGGCATTCATTGATCGAGCAGTCATTGCTACTCAAGTTATGCTTTTTTACATTCACAAGCCATCAGGCTGGGATCAAAGTGTACCATCTGTTCTGACATCTCGAATGCTATTCTTAATCTTCGCCGTTTCCTTATAAGGAAACATTCGGGATTCATTGACGAAGCAGTTATGATTTTCTAAATTCACGGTCAGGTTGCGCGTGCTGAGCTATTATGTGATTTGGCCCGCATGCAAGCGCTAGGGAACCCCACACAAATTGACTATTTGTCCCTTCCTAGCAGCGACGACCGGCAAGTAAATACAAAATGTAGCATCTGTTCTTTTCATCTGCAACCGTAATTGTAATATTCGCTATTTCCTTATAAGGAAACATTCGGCAGTTATTGATCGACCAGCATGTGTTGCCTTCGACTGAAATTTATCAAAAATAGGTTTCTCAAGTTCAGTAGCTGTTATCAATCTTTCCAGTATCGATGGCGTTTTCCTTCCTAGCCTTATGTTTGAGGTAGCGTGGAAAGCCAATGTTTTGATTATTATTATTTTTTTTCGAATTACATGTGTGATTCATTGACTAAACAGAATTACTCTAGGTTGAATAAATTTTTCTCTTTTGTTTTCAGGAAAAATAAGTTTTCTAAAAGCACTCACTATTATCGGCCTTTCTAATACTGGTAGGAGTTTCCTTCCTAGCCTTTTGTTTACGGTAGTGTGGAAGGTTAACATCTCTATTATATTATTTTCTTTTCTTTGTTTCATGTTCTATCCATATTCGTTGTTTTGTTCTGTGGAATCTCTTCATGTGATGTGGTTCCCGTTATTTGGTAAAGTTATTTTTGATTCTGCAGTACCAATCGACGGGATCCAGCGAAGGACAGACCTCTTCAAAGCTGACAGGGTGCGTTTGATTGAAACTATTTTTAATCGTTGATCTGTGTAAACAGTTGCATATGGCTGATAATTTAGACATTTCTTAACGTGTTGGTCAGCATTCATGAAATCCACATGAGGGTCAATATCTGATGTGGTTATTTAAGAACGTGACTCGTGTTGTTAATATTTAATATTAAGTTAATGTTTTGGTTTTGTAGCAAGTTGCGGTATTGTGGGAAACTACCCGTAGTGCAGCCTATGTTCTATTCAATTTTCTTTTCCCGTATATTAAATTACTTATAATAGCTCCATACAGCAACGTATTTGCTAATAACATATACTGAAATATGGGGTGAATTAAGTGAATCTGTCGCCGCTACATTTATTACAATTCCAGATCATAGTTTCTGTTTTGAAACGGTTTTTCATAATCCGAATTCTTGGACTATTTGGTAAAATAAAATGTTTATTTTCTTTTGCAAGGCGAACGAAAAGTAAAGTAATTTAGAATAAAAAACTTAAAAGAAAACCTAATGTGTGAAGTCGAGCCAATACAGTGAGAACTACTTTTTAATATTAACGATGAAATTAGCTGTTTCAACACGAGAACCATTCAGTATTCATTGACCAGACAGTCAGTACCTAAACTGGTGACCTGTTGTAAATACGAGATTCCATAATCTTGGGTGTAGGGTGTTGAGAAATGAGAAAAAACAAAAGAAAATCTAAAATTAAAAAAAAAACACCTAACAAAAATTACCTTTCCTCAAGGAACGTCAAAATACTTCAAAGTGAAAAAAATCAACCGAAGTGAAAATGGATGAAATTATGACGAGTAGGTTTGAAACAGTTATTGAAAATTGTTCCACAAACGAACCATCCACACATGAGGCATGTATGTATAATGCGCGTATGTTTAACTGTCATTAGATTTCTGCTACCTCGCATGTCAGTCCCTCCCTGACCTCTTTCACTTTATCATTCCTTTCGCTTCTGTTATCTTTTAATATGTATCCATTACTTGACATTAAACGTAGGCAACGCAACTTGGTAAAATAAGTTTCATGAAAGATAACTGGCAGATAATCTAATTCGAAAGCCTCGTCTCTCATGTTAAAAATAGAGTCATTGGTATCAGGCTCGCGGGCCGGTCAAAATGCCTTCGCGCGCCGGATCCGGCCTGCGGGCCGTAGGTTGCCGACTCTTGGTCTAATGGATAATGGCTTGGAATTGTTAATCGGAGAGCAGAGTTCTAATTCCAACCAGTTCGTTTTAATCACTTACGCACAAATACCCTTAGGAAAGTTATGAATCCAGCTCTTATTTTCCCCAATCTATGGGTTAATTAGTAGCATGTGAATCAGTAAATAATTATCTCCTACAAAAAATCTAAAAACGTATTGTAGCTTAAATAACGTGCAAAAGGTTGATAAGGCGTAAAAACCAAAAACAAAAAATATCTAACGCTATGAGAAAAAAAATATTTTAACCAAAATGTAAGTTTCAACAACTCATGTTAATGCACTTATTCCGTGGTTAATAATAATAATGATCATTGCTCATCTCAGAAATTTCGATAAAAAAAATAACTTCTGAGCTGATTTTGGTTTAAAAATTAACATTTACTGCAAACTCTAGCAGAGACCCTGTATACGTTATTCATTAGAGCACTGCGCATGTCTGCTTTAAATTTAAATATGGCTGCTTTATTATTAAAATAACTCCAGAGAACATTCCATATTAAAGATATTTCACGTTTTAGATGCTACTAAAATTAAACTGCCCGACGAAAAACGACAAACAAAAAAAGAAAAAAAAGTAAAGAAAAGAAAACGTAGATAGTGAGTTACTAATTATTTGCATTATTTATATTTACAATTCAACATTGTTGTTGCTGTTATCAAAACGTTTCGACTGCATTGCAATTTGGCCATCTTCAGCTGGCTTTCAATCTGTGTAAACGTATGATAATAGCCAAGAGGATTAAAGCATTTGTTGGTGAATTCGGTGGCATAGGAATTGTGAGTTGGATCCCTGGTCCGAGTAGTAGACTCAGCCGAAACAGAGCAAGCGGTAACTGAGCACTACTAAAAAAAGATATGATATCCTTAGACGCGGACAGCCGGACGAGAACAATCGACCTCGTAGATTAAACAACGTGTTCTGTGCGAAATTTTCTAAAGGTCCTCCGGATCGACATACACGTGAGGAAGGCCGAGGTGTACAACGACTGAGACGTGTCGATGATAAGGATAATAAATATGAAAATAGTTGAGTCATGACCACTTACATCTTGAAAGGATATACATCTGATATAATGGAATATACCTGAGTTGTCCCTCACTGATACAGACAGACGTGTAGGTACGACAGAGTTAAAGCTATGACAACGCTCATTGGACCACGCCACTGGCTATCCTATTGGTCTACACCTATTGCATGCGACTACGACGAGCACCGGTCGATTACTGCTACCGTGTCATACTTGGTTATAGTAGCCAAAACCACTTAGCTACTTCGATCAAATATGTCCCTTTCCGGGACATATCAACATCTGAGGAAGGCCAAGGTGTACGACGACTGAAACGTGTTGATAATAAGAATAATAAAGATGAAAATTGTGGAGAGTCATGAACACTTACAACTTGAAAAGACATACACCTGATGAAAGCTGAGGTGTACAACGATTGAAACGTGTTGATGATAAGGATAAGGAAAATTGTGGAAAGTCATGACCACTTACATACTGAAAGGACATAACGCAGAGAGACAGAGAGAATGAGGACAGAAGGCTTGGAGAAAATCTTGGTACCCAAGTCGGATATGTCTGTATTGACTGTATTCTGGTTAAGAAGCACAAGATTTAGAGCAGCGGTTTAGGTTTGGCATATCGACATCGTATGGGTCATTTAATGCCGAAATTTAATTCTCCTGGGGGCATTAGTAATTTCATTTACAAAAATGTATTGCTGGTATTTTTTCTATCAAAATGTATTTTTATACTTTCATAGGGTTTTGGCCCCAGTTTGGGGATTAACTATTTGCCCATAGTTGGGACCCTAAGAGGTGATACCACCCTGAGTTAGACGTGATTCTACGCTCCCGAAAAACCTTCCAATCAGACGCCTTGCAGGATGTAGTTGATTGTCATACCAAGAACGGTAGACCAATGGACTCAGGATGTTTTGGAGAGCCATGTCCCTCTTTTTTTAACTGTATTCTGAATCGCGCTTTTTAACTTCCGCAAAAACTCTTCTTATTTATTTATGAAATGGAAAGATTATATTGAATCAAATGCTACGTCTGCTGCTAGGAAAGTTGATTCACTCTGCCATGCTAAACAATCTTATAATATAGGTCTAACATTCATCCATACTTTGAATATTGCTGCCACTGGTGTTTCTGCTATATATTTAGAGATTCTTGATAAAATCTAAAGAATCTGCAATGTTAATGGTCTTGACTGGCATCCTGGCTTCAGTCACTTTTTCACTGCTATAATGTAGGTTGATGACACGATGATTTACTCATGTCTTAAGTCAATAAGGTCAAATTGGCAGCTGATCTCAAAAGTGACCTAAAACCTGCTGTTAACTGGGGCAAGGAATGGCTTGTTAATTTTAACACCTCCAAAACAAAACTGCTTTCTATTAATCTTCTGAGAGACCCCTTTCTGCCTTCCATCCGCATGGTTGATGATAACCCCCTATCCACAGGAGTGCAACTTGCACATTAACAGGTTAACATGAAATGGAAAGATTTTATTGAATCAATTACTAGGTCTGCTGCTAGGAAAGTTGGTTCACTGAGTCGTGCTAGACAGTTTTTCTTGCCAGAATCTATTTTACATATTTATAATTCTTCCATTCATCTTTGCTTTGAATGTTCTTACTACAACTGGTCTGGTACTCGAGCTACATACTTATTGATCCTTGATAAAATAAAACAATCATCTGCGATATTATTGGTCTTGATCTGGCACCTCGGCTTCAGTCACTTTCCCAACGCCGTAATGTAGCTTCCCTCTGCCTTTTCTAGATATACTTTCATGATAATTGTTCTGACCAACTTTCCGCTAAGGTACTTAGGCTTTATGAATTTAAGTATAGAACTAGATTGGCGACAAGCTCTCAACATTTTACAGTTGAAACTAGATGTAACCGTAAGTTATATCCAAACAATTTCTTTTCTCGCACTTCTCGCTTGTGGGACTCTCTTCTGGTTTCTTGCATTCCAGTCAAGTTTGATCAAAAATCTAAAAGCAATGCCAATCGTTAATTTCTGTCTTCCTAATTCCTATTCTTTTATTGTTCTTACTAATTATTATTGTTTTTCTATTTCTCCGAGTCTGTCGTATTCATTAAGGCCTTGCGTGTTAGTGGCTTTATTGCCTTGCTTCTGGTGAAATGATTAAAAATACAGATTCGGCAAAGAAGAAAGGGACTGAAGTCGAAATGTCTCCGGTCACTTTCTTCTTTGGCGAATATATATATATACATATAACCTTAACCGTAAGTTCTATGCTAAGAGTTTCTTCTCACGCACTTCTCGTTTGTGGAACTCTCGTCCGTCTTCCTGCTTTCCAGTTAACTTTGATCTTTAAAACTTTAAGTACAATGTCAATCGTTATCTTAAATCTAAACATTTGTTCTTTTATTGTCCTCTCATTAATAGTATTTCTTCTCATATACTTTAGCAACTCCTTTCTTCTTAGTGGCTTTATTGCCTTGCTTAGGTGAAATGATTGTAAAAAACTGATGTTTTCCTGCATATACGCATTCACTAATATATATATATATATATATATATATATATATATATATATATATATATATATATATATATATATATATATATATTATAATTTTTATTTTACAAAACAACTTATTCACGACAACATGTATTTTTGTTCCGACTGGTGCGATGCATGCAAATCGAAACGAAAATGTATCATTGTTGTGAGTAAGTTGTGAGTATTTTCTGTATATAAAATTATAATAAATACTTATTGCTCTACTCTTGGTATTGATCTCTCTTTTGAATTAATGTTATGAACGTTAGACTTTATATTATTTTCATTCTCATTACATTCGGATATATATATATATATATATATATATATATATATATATATAGTTCACACATACACACACACACATATATATATATAGTTCACAGCCCTTTACTTCCTTTACTTTTCATTTTTGCTTCAATCTTTTGAAGTAAAGTCTGATGACCCGCAGTCCTTTAAAAGGGCTATATATATATATATATATATATATATATATATATATATATATATGTATATATATATATATATATATATATATATATATAAAACTATATATATATAACGCAAATCGTCAGGCCATAGATTGTGTTTAGCATGAAACGGGCTTTCGCCTCTGGGTGTTGATTTAAAGGCCCAATTTTATATTTACATACGCTCTGTCCCTGATACTGAGCACTTTTAACCCAAAAATATACCAAACGTTAACAGTATATTTTATCAATATATATATATATATATATATATATATATATATATATATATATATATATATATTAATTCATTTAAAATATGGGTTTTTCGTTCTAACCATGTTTCAAAAATGGAAGCTAAAAGCTTTCAAAGGCACCCAGTAATAAATAAGTTACTCCAAAATTCGCTTGAGGATGAAATGGAACTAATGTCTTTAATTTAATTACAAAATTAAATTCGAAGTTTTAGCTTCCATTTTTGCAACATGGTTAGAAATGTGTAGCGGAAAAACCATATTTTAAATCAATTAATTTATCATATTATGCTCTGTAAATTTACATCGAGCACTATTTTGTAAAAATAAAAATATCTATAAGAACACCGGATTATATATCTTACTGTTCTTTTTTTATATATATATATATATATATATATATATATATATATGCACATATCTATGTATATGTAATTCTGTTTATCTCACTCTAACTATATATATATAACTAACTATATCTATCTATCTATCTATCTATCTATCTATATATATATATATATATAAGGCTATCCACGTGTTTTAGTATGTTCCCTCTATATTATTTTTTTACGATAGGAATATAACTGAACTTTTTCTTTATTCTTTCTGTATTCCCCTTCAACTTTGCGAAAATTGTGCGTTTTCTCTCTCTCTCTCTCTCTCCCTCCCTCTCTTAATGTTTTTGAAAAGATGGAAATTACACGTACCACTTTCTCCACCTTTTTCTTCGCCTTTTCCAGTTGTCTTGGCTATGGCGTGGGATGGTAAGGAGTCGTCCGCTGACGTCCAAATCATCGGCCGAAGTTTTCCGTCATGAACCGACATAATATGCACTTCATGTCTGCTTCGTTTCACATGCAGTATAGTCGCCTCCATCCTCGGAGTTTTTCTCCGAACGCCAGAGCCGGACTCCATATTGTCCACCCCCCTCCCCCTGTTTCCCGCCCAACTTCCGCTTTTCCCTTTTTTTCAGGCTCGCCATTCCTTTGGCGAATAAATCACGCGAAGGTTGTGTTGTGTGCGTAACGTTAAAAGAGTACTGAGGATAAAAAAAAAATGTGAACGACTGAATGAAAATGAAGAAGAAAGAGGAGAACGAAGGAATCGAAAGAAAAAGGAAGGAAAAAGAGGAATGAAGGAAGAAAGGAAATCAGAAAAGTAGAAGGAATGAAAACAAGAAAGTAAAAAAAATATAAGAATGAAGTGAAGAAAAAATGAAGAAATAAGGGGTCTGGAGAGGGAAAAGAAGAGGTTTGATGATGGAAACAAATAACTTCTTGAAAGGGGGAGGAAGAAAGAAAGGAAGGAAAAAAGAAAGGAAGGAAAGAGGGAAGAAAGGAAAGAAGGAAGAAAGAAAGGAAAGATGGAAGGAAGAAAGGAAGGAAGGAGGGAAGAAAGGAAAGGGGAGGGAAGGAGGGAAGAAAGGAAGGAAGGAAGGAGGGAAGAAAGGAAAGAAGAAAGGAAGGAAGGAAAGAAGAAAGGAGGGAAGGAGCGAAGAAAGAAAAGAAGGAAGAAAGGAAGGAAAGAAGGAAGGAAGAAAATAAGGAAGGATGGAAGAAAGGAAAGAAGGAGGGAAGGAGGGAAGAAAGGAAGGAAGGAAGGAGGGAAGAAAGGAAAGAAGAAAGGAAGGAAGGAAAGTAGAAAAGAAGGAAGGAAGAAAAGAAAAGAAGGAAAGAAAAAGAAGGAAAGAAGGAAGGAAGAAAGGAAGGAAAGGAAGAAAGGAAGGAAGAAAGGAGGGAAGAAAGGAAGGAAGGAGGGAAGAAAGGAAAGAAGAAAGGAAGGAAAGAAAGAAAAAGGAAGGAAAAAAGAAAGGAAGGAAGGAGGGAAGAAAGGAAAGAAGGAAGAAAGGAAGGAAAGAAGGAAGGAAGAAAGGAAGGAAGGAAGGAAAGAGGAAAGAAAGGAAAGAAGGAAGGAAGGAGGGAAGAAAAGAAAGAAGAAAGGAAGGAAGGAAAAGGAAGAAGAAAGGAAGGAAGGAAAAGAAGGAAGGAAAAGAAGGAAGAAAAGGAAAAGAAGAAGAAAGGAAGGAAAGAAGGAAGAAAGAAAGGAAGAAAGTGAAGGAAGGGGGAGAAAGGAAAAGAAGGAAGAAAGGAAGGAAAGGAAGGAAGGAAGAAAGGAAAGAAGAAAAAGGAAGGAAGAAAAGAGGGAAGAAAGAAGGAAGGAGGAAGGAAGAAAAGAAGAAAGGAAGGAAGGAAAAGAAAGGAAGGAAGAAAGGAAAGAAGGAAAAGGAGGAAGGAAGGAAAGAAGGAAGGAAGAAGAAGGAAAGAAGGAAGGAAGGAAGGAAAGAAGGAAGGAAGGGAGAAAGAAAGGAAAGAAGGAAGAAAGGAAGGAAAGAAGGAAGGAAGAAAGAAGGAAGAAAGGAAAGAAGAAATGAAGGAAGGAAAGAAGAAAGTAAGGAAGGGGGGAGAAAGGAAAGAAGGAAGAAAGGAAGGAAAGAAGGAAGGAAGAAAGGAAGGAAAGAAGAAAGGAAGGAAGAAAGGAGGGAAGAAAGGAAGGAAGGAGGGAAGAAAGGAAAGAAGAAAGGAAGGAATGAAAGAAGGAAGGAAGAAAGGAAGAAAGGAGGGAAGAAAGGAAGGAAAGAAAGAAGGAAGGAAGGAAGGAAGGAAAAAAGGAGGAAAGAAAGGAAGGAAGGAGGAAAGGAAGAAAGGAAGGAAGAAAAGAAGAAAGGAGACAACAAAGGAAAGAAGGAAGGAAGGAAGGAAAGAAGAAAGGAGGGAAGAAAGGAAGGAAGGAGGGAAGAAAGGAAGGAAAGACGGAAGAAGGAAGAAGGAAGAAAGGAAGCAAGGACGGAAGGCAAAAAGGAATGAAGGAAGAAAGGAAGGAAAAAAGAAATGAAGGAAGGAGGGAAGAAAGGATGGAAGAAAGGAAGGAAAGAAGGAAGAAAGGAGGGAAGAAAGAAAGGACGAAAGGAAGGAAAGAAGGAAGAAAGGAAGCAAGGAAAGAGGGAAGAAATGAAGGAAAGAAGGAAGGAAAGAGCAAAGGAAGAAGGAAGTAAGAAAGGAAGAAAAGAAGGAGGGAAGAAAGGAAGGAAGGAAGGAAGGAGGGAAGAAAGGAAGGAAGGAAGAAAGGAAGAAAGAATAAGAAATAGAGTTTAGAAAAGTCTGAAAAGAAGAGAAGAAAATGATTGCAGAAAGAAAAAAAGAGAGAAATAAAAAGAGACTGAGTTTAGAAAAAAACAAAAAGAATCAAAAGACATTGAAGAAGAGAAGAAAAAGATTGAAAAGTGAATGAAAAAGAAAAAGAGAGAAAAAGTAAGAAAGAAGAAGAAAGTTAAAGTGAGAAAGAAAAAGAGAGAAAGAAAAAGAAACAGAGTTTAGAAAAAGAAAACCCCCAAAAATGGAAAGATGTTAAAAGAAATGAATGAAGGAAGACCGAAAAAAGTTTGAAAAAAAAAAGAAAGAAAATTAAAGACATTTGAATTAAAAGAATGAAAACTGGAAAAAGAAGGAAATAAGAAAAGCGTTTATAAAAAGAGTGAAAAAGAAATTGTAAATATAAGAAAAAAAGAAAGATATATTCAACAGAAAGATTCGTTTTGTACAAATAAATAACTAAAGAAAGAAAGAAATAAAATTTTGTATAAAGAATGAAAAAAGAAGTTGAAGAAAAAAATGAAGAAAAATGGTTGTAAAAAAATTATAAGAAATCATAAAGAAACAAAAGATTGTTTGATTCGTTTTTTACGGCTTATCGACCCTTTGCATATTATTTAAAGCCAAAAAAATGTATCTAGATTGTAAGAATTTTTTTTTCGATAACAATGGTTTTGATGTTTTTACTAATTCATTCATAGCTGGGTGAGACGACGTGGGTTCAAATCTTTCCTTGTCGTATTTGAATATAATGAACAAAACAGGAACTCTATCACACCACTCACCTCGTTTTCGTAAGCAGTCTCTCATCTTGGTATGGACCAGGCCTAACGTTGCTTAACTCCAGTGATCGTACGGGATCCGGTATTTCAATTGGATATGGCCGTAAGTCAACGAAACGATATAAAATAAGCTCTAAGAAAGAAAATGACAAAGGTCTTTTTTAAAAACTGACTGACTGAATGAATAAATGAAGGAAAATAGATTAAATTGAATCGAGAAAGAAAACTGTTGTAATGAAAATAGATTAAGGAAATAAAAAAATAAAGATTGCCGAATGAAATTAGAAAAAAAAAATGAAAGAATTAATTTGTCAGAAAAAGGATTTATAATAATAACGAAACAGAAAACAGATTTCAAAGAATCACGATAAAAAAAAAGCAAAAGATAATCATCATAGCATCAGCGAGAATTTGGAAAGGGAAGTCCTAAATTGGAAACTAACACCGAAGAGGAAAACATGAACGCACAAAAGAAAACAGGTTTCGAAAGAATAAAAGAGGAACTAGCAAATTCTTCATGAAAAGGAATTGTCCGAAAAATAAAACTCACACAAAGAAATAACTGGCAGCATTTCTCTTCAAGCAATCGAGTTATTGTTGGGCGGTAAAGAGTGTTCCGACAATGTCCACTTCACATTTGTCATCTTTTGTGACGCGGCCATAGTGACTGGTCCTTAAACAGGTTCTCCATGCGTCGCTTCCTCAATCGGAAAGAATTCCTACGATTTGAAGAAGGCTATCTTTTGTTCACCTCTGACCCTCGAAATTTCGACAGATTCCATTAAATATATAAGTGTATATCTTATTGTCCGAGTTTATGAAGACATTGACAAAGCTTAACGATATTGGTATTATTTGCCGTTTTCTTTATAAGGAAACATTTGGCCTTCATTGACCGAGCAGTTGGCGCTTCTCGACATGTGTTTTTCTACATTTCCAGGCCATCAGGCTGGACTTAGTAACTGTTACTGCATCTTACTGCATAATATTCGTAATATTAGCTCGTATAAAGAAATTCGGCATTCATTGATCGAGAAATCGTTACTTCCCATGTTTTTCTATATCACTATCTGTTTCCCCGTTCGCAAACGGCATTGATAATATTTGCCGTTTCCTTATAAGGAAATATTCGACATTCATTGACCGAGCAGTCAGTTCTACTCGACTTATGGTTTTCTATATTCCCAGGCCATCAGGCTGGACTCAAAGTTTAGTAACTGTTTCCCCTTTCGCAAACGGCATTGATAATATTTGCCGTTTCTTTATAAGGAAATATTCGAAATTCATTCACCGAGCAGTCGGTTTTTCTCTACTTATGCTTTTATATATTCCCAGGCCATCAAGCTGGGATCAAAGTGTAGTAACAGTTACCGCACCTCGAATTACATTCGTAATATTAGCCCTTTACTTATAATAAAATTCGGCATTTATTGGTCGAATAGTCGGTGCTACCCGACATGCTTTTTTTACATCCCCAGGCCATCAGGCTGGACTCAAAGTGTAGTAACTGTTTCGCGAAATTGTAATTAACGCATCATGCCTCTCCCCATCTTCCTATCTTTCATAGTTCTTAGCAATGTTTGCCTTTTTACCTTCCTCGCAGTGTACTGCCATCTGCTTGCTCAGGCTTGTTAAGGAGGTTAAAGGCTGTTTTCCTGTGTCCCTGTTGCCATCAATGTGTCTTGAGTGTGTCAAATTCTCCAAGCCTTTGTTCTTCAGTATGTGTCCCGGATATTTCGTCTCTGTTTTTATTATAACTTTTTTTAACATTTCCTTGGAATTTGCTCACATGCTCCGTCCATTCTCAGCAACCTTCAATGAAACGGAAAAAAAACAAACAAAAAAAAACAGTATTTTTTCTCTTACTTTTTGTTTCTATATCTTTATTTCTTTTTTTTTCTTTTCTCAGTATACAGGGCTTTTTTTCTAGTTTCATTTGCATTTTCTTTCTTTTTCTTTCTTTCTTTCTTTCTTTTCCATTTCCTTCGTTTCTTTTATTTTCTCTAACTTTTCTTTCTTTCTTTCTTTCTTTCTTTCTTTTCTTTCTTTTCCATTTCCTTCGTTTCTTTTATTTTCTCTAACTTTTCTTTTCTTTCTTTCTTTTTTCTTTCTTTCTTTTCCTTTCCATTTCCTTCGTTTCTTTTCATTTTTCTAACTTTTCTTTCTTTCTTTCTTTCTTTCTTTCTTTCTTTTCCTTTCCATTTCCTTCGTTTCTTTTCATTTTTCTAACTTTTCTTTCTTTCTTTCTTTCTTTTCTTTCTTTTTCTTTTTTCTTTTTTTTTTTTTCTTTTCCTTTCCATTTCCTTCGTTTTTTTCATTTTTCTAACTTTTCTTTTCTTTCTTTTCTTTCTTTTCTTTTCTTTTCCTTTCCATTTCCTTCGTTTCTTTTCATTTTTTTCTAACTTTTCTTTCTTTTTTCTTTCTTTTCTTTTTTTTTTTTTTTTCCTTTCCATTTCCTTCGTTTCTTTTCATTTTTCTAACTTTTCTTTCTTTTCTTTCTTTCTTTCTTTTTTTTTCCTTTCCATTTCCTTCGTTTCTTTTTTTATTTTTCTAACTTTTTCTTTCTTTTCTTTCTTTCTTTCTTTCTTTCCTTTCCATTTCCTTCGTTTCTTTTCATTTTTCTAACTTTTTCTTTCTTTCTTCCTTTCTTTTCTTTCTTTCTTTCTTTTCCTTTCCATTTCCTTCGTTTTTTTCATTTTTCTAACTTTTTCTTTCTTTCTTTTCTTTCTTTTTTTTCTTTTCTTTTCTTTTTCCTTTTCCATTTCCTTCGTTTCTTTTCATTTTTCTAACTTTTCTTTCTTTCTTTCTTTCTTTCTTTCTTTCTTTTCTTTTCCTTTCCATTTCCTTCGTTTCTTTTCATTTTTCTAACTTTTCTTTCTTTCTTTCTTTCTTTTCCCATTTTTTCTTCGTTTCTTTTCATTTTTCTAACTTTTCTTTTCTTTCTTTCTTTCTTTCTTTTCCTTTCCATTTTCGTTTTTTTTCATTTTCTAATTTTTCTAACTTTTCTTTTTTCTTTCTTTCTTTTCTTTTTCTTTTTTTTCCTTTCCATTTCCTTCGTTTCTTTTCATTTTTCTAACTTTTCTTTCTTTTTTTTCTTTTCTTTCTTTTCCTTTCCATTTCCTTCGTTTCTTTCATTTTTCTAACTTTTCTTTTTCTTTCTTTTCATTCTTTTCTTTCTTTTTCCTTTCCATTTCCTTCGTTTTTTTCATTTTTCTAACTTTTCTTTCTTTCTTTTCTTTTCTTTCTTTTTTTCTTTTCTTTTCCTTTCCATTTCTTCGTTTCTTTTCATTTTTCTAACTTTTCTTTCTTTTCTTTTTCTTTCTTTTCTTTTTCTTTCTTTCTTTTCCTTTCCATTTCCTTCGTTTCTTTTCATTTTCTAACTTTTCTTTCTTTCTTTCTTTTCTTTCTTTCTTTTCCTTTCCATTTCCTTCTTTCTTTTCATTTTCATTTTTCTTTCTTTTCTTTTTCTTTCTTTCTTTCTTTCTTTCTTTCTTTCTTTCTTTCTTTCTTTCTTTTCCTTTCCATTTCCTTCGTTTCTTTTCATTTTTCTAACTTTTCTTTCTTTCTTTCTTTCTTTTCTTTTCCTTTCCATTTCCTTCGTTTCTTTTCATTTTTCTAACTTTTCTTTCTTTCTTTCTTTCTTTCTTTTCCTTTCCATTTCCTTCGTTTTTTTTCATTTTTCTAACTTTTTCTTTCTTTTCTTTCTTTCTTTTCCTTTTCCATTTCCTTCTGTTTCTTTTTCATTTTTCTAACTTTTTCTTTTCTTTTCTTTCTTTTCTTTTTTTCTTTCTTTTCCTTTCCATTTCCTTTTCCGTTTCTTTTCATTTTTCTAACTTTTTTCTTTCTTTCTTTTCTTTTCTTTTCTTTTCCTTTCCATTTCCTTCGTTTTTTTCATTTTTCTAACTTTTCTTTCTTTCTTTCTTTCTTTCTTTTCCTTTCCATTTCCTTCGTTTCTTTTCATTTTTCTAACTTTTCTTTCTTTCTTTCTTTCTTTTCCTTTCCATTTCCTTCGTTTCTTTTCATTTTTCTAACTTTTCTTTCTTTTCTTTTCTTTCTTTTCTTTTCCTTTCCATTTCTTCGTTTCTTTTCATTTTTTCTAACTTTTCTTTCTTTTTTTTCTTTTCTTTCTTTCTTTCTTTTCTTTTCCTTTCCATTTCCTTCGTTTTTTTTCATTTTTCTAACTTTTCTTTCTTTCTTTCTTTTCCTTTCCATTTCCTTCGTTTCTTTTCATTTTTCTAACTTTTCTTTCTTCCTTTCTTTCTTCCTTTCTTTCTTCCTTTCTTTCTTTCTTTCTTTCTTTCTTATATTAGTTGTCTACCATTTCTCTTCTTTCTGTTTTTTTTTCTTTCTACGTTTTTCTAATTTTCTTCATTACTCTGTTTCTTTAGTGTCCAATCCTTTTTTGTCCTTTCCCTTTTCTGTGTGAAACTCATTCCTTCCTTCCTTCCTTCCTTCCTTCATTCCTTCCTTCATTTTCCCACCATTATAAATTTTCCCTTCTCTTTCTCATATCAGTGGTATATTATTTTCCATCTTTCCTTTCTTCTTTCTTCGACAAATCAACGTTTTCTTTCTTTCTTTTTCTTTCTTTCTTTCTTTCTTTCTTTCTTTCTTTCTTTCTTTATGTCTTTATTTGTCATACCATTATTCCTTCTTTCTTCCTTTGTTTTTCATATCAGTTCCATACCATTTCTCTATCTTTCCTTTTTTCTTAGATACACCATTCTTTCTTTCTTTCTTTCTTTCTTTCTTTCTTTCTTTCTTTCTTTCTTTCTTTCTCATATCAGTTCGATAACATTTCTCTCTTTTCATCTTTCTTAGCTACAACACTCTTTCTTTCTTTCTTTCTTTCTTTCTTTGCCACACTATTATTCCTTCTTTCTTCCTTTGTTTCACATATCAGTTCCATACCATTTCTCTATCTTTCCTTCTTTCTTAGCTACACCATTCTTTCTTTGTTTCATTCATGCATTCATTCATTCTTTCTTTCTTTCTTGCTTTCCCTCATTCTTTCTTTGTTTGTTTGTTTCTTTCTTTCTAATGATATCACTGTTTCTATTCTAATTACCCATAAACCGTTCGTATAAAAAGACGAAACAGACGAGGGCAAAACGTAAATTAATTTAGAAAAAAATATCTAAACCGAAGATTTCATTCCTTTCATTTCTAAATCAATTTGGAACTCGAAAGCAAATCAGAAAATCCGTTTCACAATTTGCCGTTTTAACAATTTTGATGAAAAATCAATTTTAAGTCTAAATATCTTCACAATCCCCTGAATTTATTTGAAAAATTCAAATAAAAAAGAAAATAGCTGGGGATATTAGGACGAAAAAGAAAACGAAAGTAAAAATATTTTCCCTTTAATTTACAATCTGATAAAAAGAATCCTCTATTCCATGTTTCCCCTAAAATTCTTTATTAAATCCTTTAATTTGGTTGTAATGATTTTTTTTCCTTAGACAAGATTAAATGTTGACCTATTTGCGAATTATTTCACCAGGTTTGTAAAAGCCTTTCTAGGCCTACCCACTGAGACGATCCCAATAAAAAGTCAGACTGTGTGTCCGTTCCGTGGATACAAAACAGAAATATTTCTTACTAGCTTAAAAGTCGTTCTATGTGATAACATTTAAGCTAGCTCCTGTGAAGAGCTCTTGATTGGGCCTTCATCACAATAGGTAGGGAGGAGTTGATGCGATAGGCAATAATAAACTGCAGAAGAACACAAAATTGGTCGCTGCATTTAAGTATTGCATTAATATTTAAACTTCCTTATTGAAAGTTCAACGATAATTCTTCCGTCGCTACTTAATTTAAGTTTGATGTACGTAGGTCCTTACTTTCCGCATAAACAATTATTTTTAGTTCATGGGTGACTTTCGCTGGATTTTGCAATTATTACTCCCAAATTTAGAAAAAAAAATCGCCTCAAAAATTCACGTAAAACATCGCCAAAAACAATCGCAGTAATGAAACAGTGTAATTTTCGAACAATATTTTTCTCATTTGAACATGAGCTATTGAAAGTTAGAGAGTTGTGTCCCTTTAATTGATTTTATCAGTAGAAGCCAAGATGGCGGAATCCGAAAACAATCGCAATAATGAAAACTTGAAAATCCAAAATTTCAGGATTGCAGGCCTGGATCTGGCCCTGGGTGTTTTTAATTTGCTCACTGAGTCGGCCTAATTCCAAAATGGTATGATACGTTGGGCTACGGGCTATAGGAGTAAAGTTGAAAAAGTGTGACACACTGACATTCGCATTTAGTATATAGATTGCCATAAACGTTATTTTTAGTGGAATCACGCGTTGGATTTGAAATCCCTTGTTTTTATTTTCTTTAACAGAGAAACTAATACCGAGAAACTCTTTTTCTATGTACCGTGTCCCATTAGGTCGTTCGCGATCATGGCTCTCCACATCTTCCTGTCCTTTTGGTTATCTCTCCTAAACCTTGTTCCGCCATCTATTTCATAAAGCTCACTAGGTAGGATATTCGTTGCTTTCCCCTGTCACGCTTGCCTTCAATCCGTCCTGTGTGTATAAAACTTGCCAAGCCCTCTTTCTTCAGTATGTTCCCTCGTTATCTCTTCTAAACCCTGTTCTGACAACCCTTTACTCAAGTAAGGTAAGCGCTGTTTTCTTTGTTCCTCTTGCAATCAATATGTCCTGTGAGTAACAAATTTTCCAAGGACCCTTTTCTCATTATTCGACCTAGAAATTTTAACATTTTTCTCATTCTAAGTACAAGTGTACTCCTTGTTTTCATTTTCTTGTTCGATCCATTTTATTCTCAGAATCATTCAGTAGAACCACATTTCTGTTATCTGAAGCCTCTTCTTTATAAAATTGCAGAAATTCTTTTTTATCTATAATGTTGAAGATAGAATTCTGGCCTAGTCTTCTGAATTATAACTGCACTTTTTAAAGAATGAATTTGATAAACAAGAACGGAAATTATTTATAAACATTTTGTATAGGCAAATGTTCTGAGTATAAAAATTATTCTGACTCTTCTAAAATTAAATCAGGAATTATTATAGGTTTCTATCTGAGAGCATTAAGAATCTGCAGCCCCTAATATTTACTTAAAGAAGAAACATACATAGAAAACACATTCAAAAACCTACAATAACCATATCATTTCACCCACAATGCAAGAAGAAAGGCATACAAAATATACAACCGAAACAAAAATAATAACATAATCCGTAATAATAAGGTACAACACTTCCAAAACCCGTATGTATATACTCAGATCCTCAACACAAATAGCAATATTTCTGAAGCAGGCATTTATAAAATAAATTTCCAAAACTGTTCCTCTCGATATATTGGAGAAACAAGCATTTAAAAACTCATCTATGAGCACAAAAGAGACCTCACAAAAAACAACTAATGAACTATAAATAAATTCATATGCAATTCTGATTTTAAAAATGCAACACTTATAAAAAAAAGAAAATAACCCACTCAAAAGGAACATCCTCGAGAGTGTCGCCATTGAACATTATCTAAATATTAATCTATGCCTAGGCTTTTTCCCTTTATCACCTTTCCTAACAGAATTACTATTCTCCCAAGCAAACATACAAAACTGTATCAAGAAATCAAAAGAAAATAGTTGAATCCGGCAACACAACAGTAACAGCAATATTTCCACACGTGACAGTACTTGACGTAATTTTCAGTAGACAATATGAATACAATAGTGTTTTCTAAATTCTTCTAGTTGCTAAGGACATTTTGTTTGTTGTTAATAGTTACTTTGTTTTTAATAAATTCATTTCGTTTTTGCCTTGAAAAAGTTCACATTGGACAAAGAAGTTCATCGTCATAACCAGGACGAATCCTTATTTGTACCCCATACCTTAGGCTTTGAACAAAAGTCACCGTGCAAGACATTTTTTTCTTTATTAATTAATACATAGATGAAGAGGGAGATTCATGCCTTTCCCAAAAGTATTTGCGTGAGAATGAATATAAAGAGCCAACGGAGAATTGAACTCGGCTCTACAATTAACAATTTAGAGTCATTATCCATTACACCATCCGCACATACAACCTTACAGGACCTCATACTTACAAGCGGTCACCCATCTAACCGGGCTCGACGTTGCTTAACTTTGCTGGTCGTAGGGGAACCAGTATTTCAATTATACCTGAGTAGTGAGTTGGGTGCCCAATATATTCAGCCTTGTACCACGTCTAAGCTACACTTAGAAAATTCCTATATTCCCTCAGTTTCTAGTAGGAGATTGTCTGTTTAACGGCATATCAACTCCTCATGGGTCATTTAATGTTGAAATTTAATTTAATTGGCTACTTTGATTTTATTTGAATGTTTAACGGCATATCAACACTTCATGGGTCATTTAATGTCGAAATTTAATTTTTATTGGCTGGTTTGATTTGATTTCAATGTTTAATGGCATATCAACTCCTCATGGGTCATTTAATGTTGAAATTTAATTTTATTGGCTGATTTGATTTAATTTGAATGTTTAATGGCATATCAACTCGTCATGGGTCATTTAATGTCGAAATTTAATTTTATTGGATGCTTTCATTTGATTTGAATGTTTAACGGCATATCAACTCCTCAT